GTTCTCGTAATGTTCGCAAAATTATAAAATGAAATGTTCCCTTGATGTTCGTATAACTAAAAAATAAATTTTTAAAAACTTGATGTTTTGAACGTTGAGAGATCACGTAGAAGTAACGTTCTCATAATGTTCGCAAAATTATAAAATGAAATGTTCCCTTGATGTTCGTATAACTAAAAAATATATTTGTAAAAACTTGATGTTTTGAACATTGAGAACATTCAGAAGTAACGTTCTCGTAATGTTCGCAAAATTATGGAATGTTCCCTTGATGTTCGTATAACTAAAAAAATTAATTTTTTAAAACTTGATGTTTTGAACGTTGAGAGAACATTCAGAAGTAACGTTCTCGTAATGTTTGCAAAATTATAAAATGGAATGTTCCCTTGATGTTCGATTTTTAAAAACTTGATGTTTTGAACGTTGAAAGAACATTCAGAAGTAACGTTCTCGTAATGTTCGCAAAATTATGGAATGTTCCCTTGATGTTCGTATAACTAAAAAAATTAATTTTTTTAAAACTTGATGTTTTGAACGTTGAAAGAACATTCAGAAGTAACGTTCTTGTAATGTTCGCAAAATTATGGAATGTTCCCTTGATGTTTGTATAACTAAAAAAATTAATTTGTAAAAACTTGATGTTTTGAACATTGAGAACATTCAGAAGTAAAGTTCTCGTAATGTTCGCAAAATTATGGAATGTTCCCTTGATGTTCGTATAACTAAAAAAATTAATTTTTAAAAACTTGATGTTTTGAACGTTGAGAGAACATTCAGAAGTAATGTTCTCGTAATGTTCGCAAAATTATAAAATGAAATGTTCCCTTGATGTTCATATAACTAAAAAATACATTTTTAAAAACTTGATGTTTTGAAGGTTGAGAGAACATCAGAAGTAACGTTCTCGTAAAGTTCGCAAAATTATAAAATGGAACGTTCCCTTGATGTTCGTATAACTAAAAAATACATTTTTAAAAACTTGATGTTTCGAACGTTGAGAGAACATTCAGAAGTAACGTTCTCATAATGTTTGCAAAATTATAAAATGGAATGTTCCCTTGATGTTCGTATAACTAAAAAAATTAATTTTTAAAAACTTGATTTTTGGAACGTTGAAAGAACGTTCAGAAGTAATGTTCTCGTAATGTTCGCAAAATTATAAAATGGAACGTTCCCTTGATGTTCGTATAACTAAAAAATGTATTTTTAAAAACTTGATGTTTTGAACGTTGAGAGAACATTCAGAAGTAACGTTCTCGTAATGTTCGCAAAATTATAAAATGGAACGTTCCCTTGATGTTCGTATAACTAAAAATGTATTTTTAAAAACTTGATGTTTTGAACGTTGAGAGAACATTCAGAAGTAACGTTCTCGTAATGTTCGCAAAATTATAAAATGGAACGTTCCCTTGATGTTCGTATAACTAAAAATGTATTTTTAAAAACTTGATGTTTTGAACGTTGAGAGAACATTCAGAAGTAACGTTCTCGTAATGTTCGCAAAATTATAAAATGGAACGTTCCCTTGATGTTCGTATAACTAAAAATGTATTTTTAAAAACTTGATGTTTTGAACGTTGAGAGAACATTCAGAAGTAACGTTCTCGTAATGTTCGCAAAATTATAAAATGGAACGTTCCCTTGATGTTCGTATAACTAAAAATGTATTTTTAAAAACTTGATGTTTTGAACGTTGAGAGAACATTCAGAAGTAACGTTCTCGTAATGTTCGCAAAATTATAAAATGGAACGTTCCCTTGATGTTCGTATAACTAAAAATGTATTTTTAAAAACTTGATGTTTTGAACGTTGAGAGAACATTCAGAAGTAACGTTCTCGTAATGTTCGCAAAATTATAAAATGGAACGTTCCCTTGATGTTCGTATAACTAAAAATGTATTTTTAAAAACTTGATGTTTTGAACGTTGAGAGAACATTCAGAAGTAACGTTCTCGTAATGTTCGCAAAATTATAAAATGGAACGTTCCCTTGATGTTCGTATAACTAAAAATGTATTTTTAAAAACTTGATGTTTTGAACGTTGAGAGAACATTCAGAAGTAACGTTCTCGTAATGTTCGCAAAAGTATAAAATGGAATGTTCGCTTGATGTTCGTATAACTAAAAAAAATTAATTTTTAAAAACTTGAAGTTTTGAACGTTGAGAGAACATTCAGAAATAACGTTCTCGTAATGTTCGCAAAATTATGGAATGTTCCCTTGATGTTCGTATAACTAAAAAATACATTTTTTAAAACTTGATGTTTTGAACATTGAGAGAACATTCAGAAGTAACGTTTTTCATAGAATGTTTGCAAAACGTTCTTAGAACATATTTTTGCGTTGCTGATATTTTTCAGTGATGGATAATGAATCAACCCTTGTGAGCTTTGAACCTACAACCTTCCATTCAGCAGATGTTTGACCACTACACCACACAGAAGCAGAGACACACAGAAAGCATCACTAACCCAGCAGGTGAACCGTCATTACAGGTGACCGATGAGTTCCTCAGGAACTGAAGCTTCATCTCCTGGTCCAGTTTCTGAGTCGAGCAGGGATACAGGGATTGAGCCAAGTTCTTCACCTGAGTCATGAAGCTCTCCATGTTTCCCTCCACAGCTGTGAAGTCCAGAGGAAAGCTCTCGGGCGTCTGAGTCCGCTGACCCCGAACTCTCCTGCCCTCCGCCGACCCCAGAACCAGCAGAACCAGCAGAACTCGGATCATCTCCATGCTTCTGTAAATCCACAGGAGGTTCATAAAAACTCTGGATCCTCTCATCCTGAAGCGAACTGCGTGTCCTCCTCCTGCGTTCAGATCACGGCAAGTGTCTGTGTCCCTCGTGGGCTCATTATTTGGGGTTTTATTGCAGCCCTCTCAGCCAATCAGCTGGCAGAGGGGCGTGTAGCCCTGTCCGGACTGCCAATCAGCAGAGAGGGCTGGTCAAATGGGGTGTGGTCTAGTGACACATGTGTCCCTTTGATCTTCAGTGTGTTTAGTGTGAATACTGACATGTGAAGAACCAACACTGAATGAACTTTATAATTCACATAGGGTTATCATATATATACTTATTTTGTTTGAGCTAGTCAGCTAACCCTAATATTTCTCATTTATGTTTAGTTTAATCTGAAATACTAAAATAACTTTACTAAATAAACTAAAAATAAAAAATAAAAACTTATACGCATAAAATGGTTCATTACTTAAAAGAAAATAAACATTAAGTGAAATAAAATAGCAACAATAAAAAATGCTGTATTTTCATATAGTATATTTATATAGTTTTTAAAAATCATATCTGATTGCTTTTTCATTGTAACAGCGTCAATATTAAAAGACTTAATTTTTATTTGACAATTTGTAACAGTTTTTAATATAAAATGTTAAATAAATTATATATATATATATATATATATATATATATATATTACACATGCACACACAAACACACATATATATTTATATATTAATATATAACGTCTAATTTTTGTTTTCATCATGTCTCAAGTTAAAGGTTTGTTTAATTAAATTACTATACGGACTATTTAAAAACTATACAGACTTATTTTAAAAAATACTAAAAATTACAAACACAACAAAATTACTAAAACTTTAATCATTTTAATTAAAACAGAAAATATAAAAATAAAATCTAATTTAAAAATGATCAAAAACTATAATAATATCTCAGTGATACTAAAATAACACTGGCTCATATATAATACGTTATTTTGTTATTTACTACTGTATTTTTCAGTATTTTGTTGATGTTTTATGGACTTTATGTACACAAACTTGTATATAAAATGCATATACAATATTTACATGTGTGACCCCATATACAGTGGGTACGGAAAGTATTCAGACCCCCTTAAATTTTTCACTCTTTGTTATATTGCAGCCATTTGCTAAAATCATTTAA